ATCTATTGTTTCTCACGATCACATGGCTGCCTGGGATTGGAAAGAACGATGCCACTTATCACTAGAACAGGAAAACATACAAATTCAAAACTGGAAGTGTGGTTCCTACTGAATACGTGTGCCTTTGCGTCCTTACCAAGCCAAGCCATCATGTGTCGGGACCACCTGTGTTTGCTTTTTTCTAGGCCAACAGAAATCTCCTCAGACTAGCGTTAGAAATGAAGTTGCATCCAAATGATGTATGTTGTTTCCCAAGACACACTGGCAAAGCCAATAACAGCTTGGGAATTGATTCTTAGCAATTTTCCCGTTTATAGGGAGTTCCCAGTTCTAAGGCAATTCTTTTCCGTGAGTCTGTATCATCTTTCCTGGGTCCTCTAATGGAGAAAGAGTCAGGCGGACACAAAGATGCCCGCTTTGCCTTGACCTTCTCATGGCATGCTGTGAGGTGTTCGATGCATGTCTCAAATGAAATGTCAAAAGGACCTAATAATGTCTTGGGATTCCAGTTCCAAACCACCTAGGCAAGTTGGTTAAAAGAGAAACAATTTATTTAGGACCATAGCTTCAGAGGGCTCAGCCCATGGCCACTCGGACCCCTGTTTCTGAGCTCACTATGATGCAGAATTTTCCCCTAGCAGGACTGTGTGTAGGAGGGAGCTGGACCCTGTGTAGGAGGGAGCTGTTCATCTCTTGGTGGACAGGAAAAAGGAGGGCAGCAAAGGGCCAAGGAGAAGATACCCCCATGGACCTGCCCCTAATGGCCTACTTCTTCCAAACTCTCAAAACACCACCACTAGCTGGTGACCAAGGCCCCAGCCTCTGAACCTTGCTGGGACACGCCCAAATCTTAATAGGGAGCAAACAAGGAAAGCCTTCCTGGCATGGAAAAGAGAAATGATGGGAAATCTCCCCTCCAGCATCCTGAGGACAAATTTCCTCCCTCCTATTAATTAATTGGCTTTTTATATAGGACCCCAGAATCCTGCAATTAAAATGTGCCTTGGAGGCAACTCCCAGTCTAGTGCCAGAGATCAGTGCTGGAGAGAGAGGGTCATTAGATGTGGAAAGGAGTGGCCAGGCCACAGGCCCGTAGAGAAGCAACTTACTGGGCAGGCTTCAGGAATTGACACAGAGATGGTCTTTCTTCTTCCTCTAGTTTTTAAAACTCGAAGGAGCCTAAAAAAAACCCAGTCCCTTGCTTTGTGGTATTGTATTTGCTAACTGAGACCCCAGGCTGCTGGTTTCTCTGTCCCCTCTGGTCACTGGCTCCTCTCTCTACCTGATGATCTCCAGCTCCACACTTTTTTGAACCCGACAGTCCTTATCTGACCTCTGAACTCAGTTGTGGAAGACAGAACTCCTAAAGTCTGGAAAATTGCTTGCGAGCAAGCTGTAATGAGGATTTCTTTGGAATTCCCCTCGGGGTTGGAAAAGCAGGCTTGAACTCCTCAAGACCAGTGGTCCGGACACTCAAGAGTCATGTTACCAACACCAAGGGCTTCTGAGCAGATGTGGAAGGAATTTAGAAAATCGTTTGATCCTGGCTGATAAAGACAGCTCTGCTTCGCAACACATTAGTAACTTCCTCCCTCAGGATTGGCCTGGCCTAACCTAGTTCTAGAAATTATGGTTTGAAAGTTATCCAGTAACACCTAGCATCAATTAATGTTTAAAGAAACATGGCAGCGTAACCACTGAGTTGAAATGGGTCTGTATGACATAATCTTTTCTCCAAAGGACCTTGACCTTTTTCAATAACATTATATTCTGAATACCAAATGTCTAACTCTTCTTGCACATTTACTGTGCATACGGTTCTATTCTATGCATTTTATTTTATTTTTTTCATTGCAAATCTAAAAGGTGTATTTTCTGATTTTACTAGCAAAAAAAGAAGGCAAGCCACCGAGGGATCGTGACTTGACATTAGCTCAGGTAGGTACAAGGCAGAGTAAAGGTGATCCCAGAAGACTTTCTGTCCCTTAAGTGTTTTCTTTAGTCACACAGTTTTGATGCCTTTCTGGGTACATTTATGTGGAACACACATATATTAAACGGAGTAGTTTTCAATCAGAAAGCAAGAGTTCAAAATCTACCCTTGAAATTTTTCCCATCCCATCTTTTCTCCTCCTATCATAAAATATAAGTAATAAAAAGTCAGCATATGCAAACATTTATTTGGAACATGTAGCCAGAAGGCAAAAGGAAGAATTGCCTGTTTGAAATTCCAGTTATTTCTCCAGAATCCGCTTTCTATTCATGAAATTCCAGTCTTGGCCACCAGAGGGCAGTCACAACATTAAAAATGAGCCCCCTTGTCCTCAGTGTCCGACCACTAGATCCTGCTAAATCTGGCTTTGGTTTCATAGTTCAGTTCACATCCTGAAAGGATCTGTGTCTTTCAAGTCTGAAATTAACATGTTATGCCACATTTAAAAAAATATAGATGCTCAAAGGAGCTTTTGACACTTTAGAATCTATTTCTTCATATAGTGATGTTAAAATGGACCGGAAACATATGCTTCATATGGGTCTCGTTGGAGAAGGGTAGACGTGCTGCATTGAATATTCAGTGACATAGTCAAAAGCACTCTTCTGTGTCCAGAAATTCGGTATTTACTGTTACATGCCATCTGGGTTTCACTAAACTGTTCCTCCCAGAAAACTAGTTGTATGCCTCAGCCCCACCAGAATCATAAATAAGAGCTCTTTGCTCAGATCTATAGAGTACGTGAGACCCCTTAACTCCCATAAGGTTTAGCTGACACTGGGTTTCATTGTGGAATAGAACGTTACTGAAGAGAAACTTGATGATGGCAGGCTGAAACTATCGGGTTTAAAGGAAATATCTGAAATAGAGTATCGCCCGTGTAGGGATCAAACTCCATCCACGAAGGCCCAATAGGACCTCTTACCATTCCATTCTTTCAAATAGACCAATAGTTGGTTTTCTTAAAGATGTCTTATTAAAACTGACCAAAGCAGATGCTAGCCCCCGGCTGATTCTCTCTCTCCTCCTCCGAGTTATCTGAGACTGTAACCCGAAGGCCATGCTCAGTTCCTGACAAACTATGGTTTAAGTTATCTCAGCCTTGCCACAGACTCTTGCCCCCTGAGCCTGAATCCTCTCTTAACCTCTCACCTCTCAAGCAGTTGACTGAGCCATGCTTCTCTCCATTACCACTCTGCTTCCTCCTCTACCGGCTCAAACTCATATACAGTGACAGACAGAAGATCAGATCAAACATTAAAGTATACAGAGAAATTTACCCAGAGACAATGAAAGTGTTGTCTCCACCTTGCCCGATACTCTAGACATGTGTTTTTTTTTTTTGTTTTTTTGTTTTTTTGTTTTTTTTGTACTATCACTTGTGATAAATCTGGGGTCATTAAATCAATTTGGGAGGGTTACAAGTGCCATCCTCAGGGTTCCGGCGCAGTAAAGCTAAATGATCTGAACCAGATGCACCTATGTCCCCAATGGGTCATGGTAGCAAGTGTATTTCTTATAGATGTGACCAGAAAAGTAAACAAGGCACAGATTTAACTCCTTCATTCTAGACTAGACCCTAAATTTCATTTGGAAAAAAATAATACTTTAACTGGCCTTTTGAGTATCAAAATGTGAAGAATTTTTTTTTCCTTCTTTAGAACAAGAGTTCTGGCCGACTCCTGAAACAACTATCTAAGCATCAGGCTTCCGCGCAGACCCCTGCTGGCCTCTCCACCCTGAACTCACTTCTTCTCATTTTAAAGTCTGCATATGGTTGTGTAGATGCCTTTGTCTCCTGTAAACATGATGCTCTCTTTTGGCTCAAGTACCCCAAATATACCATTGCATGGCTCTTTCTAGAAAACCTTCTCAGACTCTAAGCCTAACAGTTATTGGCATCCCCCAAACGAGTCCCTGTGCCATGGAAGCCTTGGTGAGCCGTTAGCAAAGGAGACTACACAGTGTTTCTCATCTTTTAATTGCTGTGCCACGGTCCCACCTCTAGGGATATTTTTGGTCATTTCCCCCCCTAGTTCCCTTCCATCTCCCTGTGAAAACATCATGCCACAGACACACATATGTCTCTGCTGTGGGATGTCTTTCTGTACACTGTGAATATGTATTATTGCTCTGATTGGTTGATAATAAAGTTGCATTAGCCTATGGCAGGGCAGGATGGAGCCAGGCGGGAAAATCCAAGAGAGATAGTGAGAGAAGAAAAGAGAGCGGGGCAGACGCTGCTAGCCGCAGCCAGGAGAAGCAAGATGTAAAAGTACCGGTAAGTCACGAGCCACATAGCAAAGTATAGACTTATAGAAATGGGTTAATTTAAGATGTAAGAGCTAGCTAGCGAAAAGCCTGAGCCATTAGGCCGTATAGTTTAAAAATAATATAAGCCTCTGTGTGTTTATTTGGGACCAAGTGGCTGTGGGATGCGGGTCCTGACTGCAGAACCGGAGAAACCTTCTGACTACATGTCTCTCTCTGTCTCTGTCTCTGTCTCAGTCTCTCTGTCTCTGTCTCTGTCTCTCTCTCTCTACATATATATGTGTATATATATATGTGTATATATATATATGTATGTATGTGTGTGTGTGTATCTATAGAGACCCCCAAACTATTGTACTGTACATCATGCAGTGTGTGAGTTTTTTTTTTTTATCTACCCTCTCTTTCTCCACCTATATCCCTGTTCTCCACCACTTTCTCTCTTTCCATAAACACTGTAGTTTTGCCTCCCTGAGAGTAATTTGGCTTCTGCTGAGAATTCAGGAAACCAAGTTCAGGAGAAGCCTACTTGTACTCTTAAGGTAGTTAGGAACAAACAGGTTGGCAACCAGTTGTCCTTGCTTCCTGCTGACAGGCTCACATCAACTGTTAGAACTCTTACGGAAAGTAACGATGATGTAAACAATCAATTTAGACTGCGTTTGGTGTAGCCAAGTGTCGAGTCATCGAGTCAACTGCAGGGCTGTAAACCGAGTAGCCCGCAAGCCAGAGCTGGGCAATGAGGTAGGAACCTATTTCAGTGGTAGAGTCCCTGACCAGCACCCAGACTTTATTTTTACTTAACATATATCGGGGATCTTCTGTAGCAGCTTCCTCATTCTTTAAGGTGCTTTAGTTGAGAAAGGACACGTGATTTATCTTTGCCCATTCAATAGCAGGGTATTGACTAGATCAATCCTAGGTTTTCTGAACTTTAATATGAAATAGTTGAAAGGGTTGACATTCTTCGCTCTGCTATGACTATTTCTAGCACGAAGGTTCTCCACCCCCATCCGAAGTTGCATACTCTTCCAGTCATCCCGTCTCATTTTTGCTGAGTCAAATGTACAACAACCGGATGATATGGCTCAGATGTCCCTTAAGCACGAAAGACGAAAAAAGAAGGGTGTATGATAAGGGCGTAGAGTTTATTCGCTGTTTGAAATTGATGGTGTGTGTGTATCTTTATTTCCCATAAACCACAGCTAGAATCTTCTCCCTCTGCTTGGGATTTGCAGGCGAGGGGAGAGGTCCAACTAGCTCCTTCAGAGATGAGCACACACTTCATGGTTTACAGGGAGGCCACACCTAAAAATCTTCAAGAGCTGCTTCTGGTTTCTACTTCGTCTCTTGGGGTGAGCAAGGCAGACCGGACTACCAGGGCTAACGGAGCCTGTAAGAGCGATCCTTGCCTGGCCGGCTTCTGCAGGCTGTGAGCTAAATGCAGTTCAGAGAGGCGGCTATAAATAGTCATTCATTGTCAGTGTGTGTGAAAAGACAAGAGTGAGTGTGCTGGTCTGATTCAGGCCCAGTTAAACGGCTGTCTGGACAGGACTATAAACGAAGTCCGCAGGCAACGCCAGGGGCTGGACACTCACCGAAGGGAAGCTGTTCAACGCCGGAGTCGCCTCTGCTATGGCAAAAATCATCTTGAGGCACCTCATAGAGACCCCAGTGCGTTATCAGGAGGAGTTTGAAGCTCGGGGCTTGGAAGACTGCAGACTGGATCATGCTTTATATGCACTGCCCGGGCCAACCATCGAGGACCTGAGGAAAGCCAGAGGCACGCCACAGGCTCTTGCAGAGGACTCAGCCTCCACCGAGACGCCACCCAGAGAAGGCAAATCCCGCTTCCAGATCCTGCTGGATGTGGTCCAGTTCCTGCCCGAGGACATCATCATCCAGACCTTCGAGGGCTGGCTGCTGATCAAAGCGCAGCATGGGACCAGAATGGACGAGCACGGCTTTATATCCCGGAGTTTCACCAGACAGTACAAACTGCCAGATGGCATCGAAACCAAGGATTTGTCTGCCATCCTCTGTCACGATGGAATTTTGGTGGTGGAGGTAAAGGATCCACTAGGGACCAAGTAAAACCTTATTGGTTCTTGTTCATATGACAGGAGAAAGATGGAAGCCAGCGACACCGGGGATGTTTAACTTTTGAGATGGTTTGCTGTAACTTTTATGAGGATTAAAAACATATCCACAGTTGCCGGTATGTGGAGGTTGTCTTTCTTATTGGTGGTCAGAAAGGAAGGTTCCTGAAATGTGTTTGTTCAGTTCGAAATGATGCTACTTTTACACCGAAATCACCAGAGAACTAGCAGAAATCACCAAAGAACTAGCAGGCTATAGTTGGGTACCAGGGAGGACCCAGCATTGCTCGTTGGTGAGTCTAACATTCCAGAGAGGCAGTTTGTACGATCCATGGCAAAATAGCCGTGTTCAGTAAAGAGCTTCTGTTCTTACCCATTTCAGGAAAAGTTTCTGTATTGCTGGAAAGAGTTGGGGGGCCACTTCAAAGAGGAGCTTTTATCTCTGTGTATTTTAATTAAAGAGGACCCTTGTAAATACAGAGTCAGACTGTTAGAATGTAGTACTGGGGAACTGGGTCTGAAACCTAATTAGGAGTCACTGGAGTTGTTACCCCTCCCCCAAACATCAGTGGGACTTTTCATGTATCTTAGTTTTTAAAAGTTCCAATACAGATCTCATTCAGTTTTTCAAAGCTAAACTGAACCCTACCAGGAGTTTTGCTCATAGACTGTGTATATTACTTGTGTGTTTTATTTGTTAACCCACAGTGTATATTGTCTCCTAAGTTAGGTATAGGAAACTAAAACATTGAATTGCTGGATTCCGTCTTAATCCTCACGATTTCCAAGCAGAGATAGCAGGTGTCACACATATGCTGTCTGCCGGACTGAAGTTTTAAATAGCCTTGTGGCCAGCGAGGACACCTGAGCTCTCGCATCCATCTGAGTTCACACAGAGCACGCTTGTCACGACTAGACCAGTGCCTCTGTCCTCCCACACTGACACTTTGGCTCAAGATTGAGCTGGTAGTGGTTAAGAATTCCAGCTTTGGGAAGCTTGCCCTCAGCAGCTGCTGATGGCATGTAAAATATTTGCTATCTCATCCTGTGCGTTCTAAATCCTTCTGTGGAGGAAGTGGCTGCTTTCAGTTCACTAGGCACCAAATGTGAACTGACAAGGAGCCCCAGGCCAGGGCTAAGAATAGAAGGGGAACTCAGAGTGTGGATGACACCTGTGTCCATGCAGACGGCTCGTCACTGTCCTCCATCTTGCCTCCCCTGGTAGTCACGTCAAAACAGGGAAGACAGGAAGTGGGTAAAAAAAAAAATCAGAAATCAAGCGAACTCTGAGAACGACATTGGCTACTTTTTCATGACACTTGAAGGGATTTTGAAATTGTCTGTTTATATGAGGTTCAAGTCCGTGGCTGACATTCGGGGCATGAAGTCTAGGACGAGACACGATTGTTTGAGAAGTTGGATCTCACAGATCAGCATAGTGGTGTAAGAACGCTGACAGGTGTGAGTGTGATACCAGATCTTCGGGAAGGATTGGAAGTGGGACACGATCTGATCCCCACCAAACAGTGCTGCCCTCAGAGTGATGACTTAACCAATCGTGTTCTCTCGAAATGGCCAGAGGCCTTTTGTCTGGTCTTGACTTTCCTCCAGATGACGCTTTCCTTCTACCCACAAGAGGATTTTTTTTTCCTTCAAAAACGAAAATTCAATACATCCTCCTGTTAGCACTTTTTTTTTCCTAAGATAAAATTCAAAGGCTTACCTGACATTTCAGGTTTTCAAACACTATGAAAAGTAAATGATTTGTTGTCAACCACCACAAGGCAGTTACCTTAAACATCTAGTTCATGTTCCCTTATCACTTTGGGCAAAGTTAGAATTAGGCTTGCATGCAATCTGACACATTGATTGCATGGGTCACTGTCCCCACTGCCATCAGCTCAAACCCATTCTCGGTGCTTCTGCACCTCACTCTGGAGAAGGCTACACTGCTCTGGTTTCCAGTTGGTTTAACCCAGTGAGAGGCACCCACGGAGGAACAGAGGGAAGGTAGCTCACAGCAGGAGCAAGCTCAGGGCTTGCTTTTTCTGCTTACTTCCACAGGGCAGCAGACAGACTTTGCCAGGGCCAGTGTGTCCCCGAGAAGATAGACTCCCCAGGGCTATTCCCAGTCTTATGGGGCTCTGGGATTATAACACTGGTCCCATCAGCAGAAGGTGTGGCCTTCTCACCTTCTTGTCCTGGATACTACTCCATCCCTTGTTAATTCCCTGTCTCTGCCACTCTTTCATAGACGGTGCGCTCATTAAAATTTCTTGAGAAATAGAATTCTGTTTCTGGTCAGAACCTGGTCTGCGTGGCATTTTATATGATAAGAAGAAAGAAAAGGAGGAGCCGGAGGAGCTGGAGTAGAAGATTGTATTTGCACCCAGGAAGCTTCTTGAGAACTTACTTTTAGAAAAGAGTAGGAGTTCAAACAGAATTCCTCATATACCTTTTGAAATACAGCTCTGCTTAACACAGTGCTATTCCACTCATATTCATCATTAGACCAAAAAGAATGAAGTCTACTATCCTGCTTCACAAGGATGTTTTCAGTAAATAGTTACAAAACACCTCAGGGCCTTGACCCTTCCTGGGAAAAATTTGGATGTGAGGAAGAAAAAAAAATGGCCTTGGTCAGGGATTTTGACAACACTTTCATCCTGTCCATTGGTCTTAAGCATCTGGTATAGCCAAGGCCTCTTGTTCCAGAAACGGATTCCTGTAAATGCACAGCTGCTGCTGCTTAAAATATTCTCTGGTGGGGACAGGGGATGGGGATCCCCATCTGTGGAAGACCTAGGTGTTAAAATACAATCTAAACAGTAAACAACCATAGAGAAGAAATGATTTTAAAATTTCAGTGGAGCAGGATTCCTATTGTTCCCACCCCCCACCCCGAGACAGTGCTTCTCTGTGTTGCTTTGGAGCCTGTCCTGGAACTCGCTCTGTAGACCAGGCTGGCCTTGAACTCAGAGATCTGCCTGGCTTTGCCTCTCGAGTGCTGGGATTAAAGGTGTGCGCCATCACCGAGTGGCCCTATTGTTCTTATTAGTGATCTGAAATGCTCTGATTAATGACCTGAAATGCTCTTATTAATGATATGAAAACTGCTGTTAGTAGAACTTATCATGTCAAAACTGACTTTTAGAAACAAATGAGATACAACCTTCGGTTTAAAAAAGTCTTCAGGCTTAACAAAAATCTATTTTTCACCAATAGCCATTGCTCTCTTTGGCAGCTACTAAATAACAGGGTGGAAAGAAGATTAAAATATTGGTTAGCAGTATTAACTTATAGTTTATACCCTTTCTTTCCTTTCCTTTTTTTTGGATAGGGACTTGTTATGCACTCAGAATATTCCTCTCTCAGCCTCTCAGGCTGGACAAACAGGTATGATACAGATATGCAGTACCAGGCTGGATTCTCACATACAACATTTGGACAGGAAGTCTCTGTTTTAGCCAACTAGTTGGTTAGATGTTCCCACAAAATGCCAGAAGCAGTGTTTTCAGTCTGAAAAAAATAGATGGTTCCATGTGACTGACGGTTACGTTTCCTGTGCGTTGAACGGACTGTGTGTACACAAACGCCATCCTGCTAGTGGATGCTTTCTAGCCTGAAGGACAAAGGTAAGAGGCATCCAGTGTGGCGAGGCACAAGAGTCCCTATGACACCATTCTTTGTGATCTGTCAGTCAGACACCCTGTATTCTATGTGTATTTTATTCTTGGTGATCAGTAGAAACATAGATTGGCATATTAAAGTCAACACCAAAAGGCAATTGGGATCCAACATTTTTTTCCATATATTTCCAGGTTATGTTATTGTGTTCATAAATTTGTGTAACTTTTCATTATAAATATATATAATTGCAAGTTAAAAATTAATAGTTTCTCTGTATTGGATTGTTTCTTAAATTATTATGGAAGCCTGCTTCCTTTTGGAAGCTTTTAGCGTTAATCTGTTTTAAGGGAAATACCACTTTCTAGTATATTATCGCCACTGTATCTTTTTGCTGTACATTCAGTGTGGTAGTGTGGTTTTTAGGGGTTTCAGTTTATTTATTTGTTTTTTTTTCACTGCTGGGGACTGAACCTAAGGCCTTCCACATGCCAAGCAGGCAGTGCACTGGACCCCACAGGACCCCAGCCTGGTGGTTTTATGTTTTAAGAGTGTCTCAGAAGCAACAGTATATGATTGACTTAAAGAATATAACCTAATAATCTGTTCCATAGTAGATGAATTTAATCCATTTACTTATAAGAATTAAATATTTAGATTTCTCCCTCTGTGTCTATGTTTATGATGCTTTACTTATTTTTCAAAGTTTCTGTTCAACCTCTTGTTTTGTTTGCTACTGATCTTCAAGATATTAAAATTTAAATATTTCCTGATCATTTATTTATAGGTTATTATAAATTTTTAAGGCAAATACCAAAGGTATAAAATTTTAAATATTTTAATTTATCTAATTTATCTATCTTTATCCTGAGTGTGACTAGAACTTTTGTATTCTTCCTGTTTACTGTACTTATTTTATAAATATATCCATAAGTCTATAATGTTTCCTAAATCCTCAACAACCCTGGACGTGGTGAAACTTGAAATTTTGCCTGTCCAGTGTTATCAGCCCATTTCTGATGCCATCACAGAATAACTGAGCCTGGACAATTTATAGTGAACAGAAATTGATCTCTCACAGTTTGGGGTGTTGGGCAGTCTGAGATCAAGGCACTGGCATCTGGTGTGGGTCTTGGTGTGTCCTCATGTGGTGGAAGGCAGGAGGAGAAGATGCAGCAACCCGCTCTGTCCTTGTATGAGGAAGCAGCCTCATGGCCTGGTCTCTTCTTAAAGGCCCCACCCCGTAATTCCGTCACATTGACACACCTGGATTTTGGACTTGACACTTTTGAACTATAGCACTGTGGGAAATAATGCACAGGAAGAGGCCAGGTCTTGTTTCTGTTGCGTTAAGTTTATGACATTTCTTATGCGTGCTTTGCCATGGCTGGGGGGTTAATAGGGTTCTTTTCTCTACCCAGCTACCCTTATTTGTGCCACTTGTTTCGTAACATATTCTTTTTAAGTGGACCTATCCCCTTGTATAAT